TTTTCAATAACCAGGATGGGGAGAGAATGTGCCAGGCAGAGCAGGGGTGCGGGAATGAATATGACCCTGGTCCAATCTTTATGGAACTCGGTTTAATGGGAGAGGTGCACACAACTAGCTATGGAGTGCTAGGCGTCTGGTAGAAAAGCAGTTGCTGTTGAAATAGATGCTGACTAAGAGCAATCCCATGTTGTCAGAGTAGACATGCACTCTGCAGGGTTTCCAGTAGCTGAATTTTTTGGAAGGAGATTGTCAGGCCTTCCTTCCAGGGCACATCTGGGTGGACTTAAATCTCTAACTTTTAGGAACCAAATGTGGTAATGGCTTGCACTATGCTTGTGAAGGGAGCTCTGATGTCCTAGACTGTAGAGGACAAAGATGGCTCAGACGCACCAGCAGCTCCTCAGAGGGTCAGCTATGAGTTGGTTCTGACTCAATGCAATGAGTAAATAGCACTGTGATCAGTGAAATAGAAAAACTGGGTTCAGAGAGTGATGCAAAGAAGATGTGGTACCTTCTGACTGTCTTTTCACAGTTAAGTCAGCCACAGCCTCTGGGTACATATTAGGAGGCTGGCACTGTCTCCGAGTTATGAGACAAAGAAAGGAAGTGAACTGGAAGCTTTACATTCAATCATCAGGATTTTTTGTTTGTTTTGCAAGTTTCTCCTAAGGTGGTTCCTCTTCCTTGTACACCTATAGTCAATTTGTAAACTCTCCAGATAGAAACCAAGGAAGGCAATGTTGTCTAAGTGCTATCTCTGTGCCCAAAGCAACGATTCTGTTATGCTCTGAATTTCATAGTGGAATACTCAAAATCAGGGCAGGAAAGCTCAGGGCAGGAATCAAGCTGGTTTTCAGAGTACTGAGCTTGGCAACTGAGATACTGAAAGCAAGATGATGAAGGCTGAAGTTACATAATGAATATGGACGAGAATGGAATGTGGAAGTAGATGAATCGCTGTGAGGTGCTCTAGGGCAACAGTCAAGGAGTCCTGATGTTGATATGGTCACTCTAATGTGATTCTGACCCACATACCTCCATGAGAGAAAAGACCTAGGGTCTGTTCCTATAGGGACGGATGTCTTGGCCATCTCATGGGACAGTTCTAAAATAAGGTCGCTGTAAATGAAAGTTGACCCAATGGTACCTGACAATAACTAGCTGTTATGAGTAATGAGTGTTATATCTAGACATTACAGTGTACTGAAAGGAGTAATCCTAAGGTGAAGGATAAAGAAACTTTTTCAGGCCTAAGAATATACATGGAGGAGGGGAGAGGAGAAGAAAAGCCATGCTACTTCTCATGAGAAAATGAGTCGCTCTCTCAGTCTGGGTCTGTGCCACTGAAATAGTCTACTGTGAAGGTGTCGCTACTAACAAAACTCAGTGTTGCGGTTAATCACAGGACCTGAAATAGCGCTCCTGCAGCCTCTGAATGTATCATTCCACCGGACATCCCACTGTGGACCCAGAGTCATGTCCAAGGCTAACGGAGTGCAAAAATCACTGAATAATGCATGCAGTACTGGAGCTCAGGAGACACCTCCTCTCCACTCAGGAATGAGTCTTTTGCCCCAAAGAGGCCAGAGTATCTACCCACAGAACAATAGCAGTTGGCAGAGATCAAGACTACCATCCTTTCCCCCTTCCTTGAGATGGGAACAGATGATTAATTAATCAGCTCTCTGTGTTGCCAAGCAGAGGCAGTATGGACTCTGGAGACAGAAAGATTTCAATGACCTGCAACTAAAAATTCTCTCCTATTTGCGCTTTTGCCCGTTCAAAGCCTACCCAGCCTGCAAGGCTTGTCTCAAGTTACGTCCTCCTTCCTGAAACACAAACTCTCCTTCTCTGATCACTGCGCGTGCTATGCCAGCAAACAGTAAGCCTGGGTCACAGGGAGGCACAGACTGAGGTCTGGGTGCTGTATATATCAGGCTAAAGTGCTTGGAATTTTTTCTTTTTTTTTTTAAAAGGTGCTATTAGGATGGAGATGGTGTAGTCAGACTGTTAATACATTCACAAAAACAAAGGCAGCAAATGGAGCATGTTTCCTCACGTATCCAAACCTGTCAGGGGCAAGGGAGGCAATTTTGGCACAAATTGAATTGTAAGGAACTATGTGATGGGGGTTGCAACAAATTGAAACACAGAAAGCAGGCTGGGGTCTCCGGGACAAAGGGGCTTGATTAAATGAAAAGGCCGTGGGAGAAAAACGGCTTTATCCTCCAGCAGTGCCTCCCGCACCCTTTCTACTAAGTTTGGAAGAAGAGGACACACATTTGACTGTGCTTCTTTTCTCTTACTGACTCTGAATCACTCATAGCTGACTCTCCAGTGGTTCTGCGAAGGTTGTGAATCACATGAGAAGAGACTGCCCACCTATCCTGTTCTTCAGTAGAACTATCAAGTACTGGGGGCTTTGGAAACAGTATTTGGACAGGTTATGAGCATCTGAAAATACAGGCAGTGAATTTGAGAAATGGCCATTTGCCATGAAGACATTTCACCAGGGTGTTGGGGAGCAGTTGGTGAGCACAGAGCAAGGTGAGGCCTCCTTCCAGGCAGTCCCCTTGAGCCCAGCCCCATAGTTATAGTTTCTTTTCTCCAAGTCAAACATTTCCAGGTCATTGGGCTGTTCCTTCTGAGGTGGTGTTTTAAGCCCTCTTATCAATCTTGACCTGAAACATGCATGTCTGACTTTATCCCTCTTCACTTTATAGGTGCCAGAACTGATCACAATAACCCAGATAAGGTCACTTTAGCCTGACAGCAAGTCTGTTAAGAGCAGAGCTTGGATTCTTGAGGGTTGGCCTGACTTCAAAGCTCAAGTTCTTTCAACACATGATTTCTCTAAAAGAGATCAGAAGCAACTAAAGGTCCTAGATCTTTTACATACAGAGCAGGGCAACACTGTATGGTTTAAAATTGGGAAGGGTGTACGCCAGGGATGTGTCCTATCTCCATACCTTTTCAACCTGTATGCAGAGCAGATTATCCGAGAGGCTGGGCTCTATGAGGAGAGTGGTGTTAGGATTGGTGGACGATCTATCAACAATCTACGTTATGCAGATGACACAACTCTGCTCGCTGAAACTGAGGAGGACCTATGCACTTACTGCAGAGGGTCAAGGACTGCAGCCTTCAATATGGACTGAAGCTCAATGTCAAGAAGACAAAAATTCTCACCACTGGACCAATCGGTAGCATCAGGATGGATGGTGAAGAGATTGAGATTGTTCACAGCTTCAGTTTGCTCGGCTCCACAGTCAACACTCTTGGCACCAGTAGCCAGGAAATCAAAAAACCTATTGCGATGGGAAAGTCTGCAGTTGGGGACGCTCTAAAGTACTCAAGAGCAACGGTGTCTCTCTGGAGACTAAGGTGCGCCTGACACAGGCCATGGTTTTTGCAATCACTTGTTATGCATCAGAGAGTTGGACAATGACTAGGGAGGATAGAAGGAGAAGTGACGCCTTTGAGCTGTGGTGCTGGAGAAGAGTATTGAATGTACCCTGGACTGCCAAGAAAACAAACAGATTCAACCTAGAGAGGGTTAAACCAGGCTGCTCCTTGGAGGCAAGGATTCTGGGGCTTCTTCGCCTGACATACTTTGGACATGTAAGGAGAGACAGGTCTTTGGAGAGGGACATCATGCTGGGTAGAGTGGAGGGACAGCACAGGAGGGGAAGACCCTCTATGAGGTGGATTGATTTAGTGACTGGGGTAATTGGGATGGGTGTGTCAGAGGCAATGAGATTGGCACAGGATAGAGCACCATTTAGGGCTGTTGTACATAGGGTCGCTATGAGTCGCAAATGACTCAACGGCACATAACAACAACAACAACATGACAAAGTCACACGTCTATCTACTCAACAGCCTTCACTGGCTCCTCTGTGCAAGCTGCACTACGCATCAAAGTTGTCTTCAGAGGTCTTACATATGGGTTACATAGTCTAAAACTGATCTGAGGGAGTGCCAAAGAGCTGGAAATTTTCCCATCTCAGATTCCCCGAGCCCTACTAGCATTGAACTACAAAATGATTCTTCTCACTCTCAGTACATTGGGCTTTTGGGGTTCTCTACCAAGGCCCAAATCCACAAACCCACAGCTGTCAAATCAGCTCTGGCTCATAGCAATCTTCCACAGGGTTACTGAGGCTGTAAATCCTATCTGGCAGAGAATCTCATCTTTTTTTCCCAGAGAGCCACAACCTTTTGGTTGGCAGGCAACACACTACGGACTATGACAACAGAACGCCCACACACCAACTAAACATGTCCTTTCCCACTGGCAGGCCTCCATACACACCAAAGGCCCCACTAGTTCTTCCCCTTTGTCTCTCTGAAGCTTCTCAATCATTTGCTCCCTTCCTAGAACCAAAACACTGCTGCCTAAGTGAACCTGTATGAGTCTACTATCACATTACCTATACTAAACCCAAACCTCAGTAACAAAATCCAGACCCGTGGATAAAAGGTCTTCATTCATTCACTCAGTTACTTATTCATTCATTCATTGAACAAATGTCCCTACTACTTTTTTTGGCCATGCTCTGTACTGCAATTCCCAAGTTAGTGATGAGATTCTCAAATACTGAGCTGGTGCTCTGGGTTAAGCTGGGGCCAATAAAGTATTTGATTGAGGCTGAGGGGCAGGATTATGTTTATTCCATGAGGCCACCAAACTTCTATGGAAGGTTGCTGGAAATTTACGGCCATGCCGCATCTGAGCCACTTGAGACCTCGAGTCCCTTGGACCCAGCAATTTGCATGATTCGATCAACTCAACATTAGGAGCCAATACTTGCATTCCAAATGGCAGCCTTCCTCAGCTTACACCTCCTCCTGGGTGGCTCACTGAGGAATTTCCAGGTTATAGTCAAAGCTACACTCATTCCAGAAGAGAGTGTCTCGTTCTTGAGTGGGACACACAGTCTTCTATACGCACGCCACTTGCCAGGAAGCTGGAAGTAGGTAGGAGATGTACTTACACTTACAGGTTGACTTTTTGGCACATCATATACACCTTCCTTCTTTTGGCTGGTGGGAACCTATGGAAAAAGCAAGAGCAACAGAGTCAAAACACTCACTTGCGAAAAAAAAGAAACCAGGTTGGCAAAGTGTATGTGTGCATGGCCCTGAGGAAGACTAGAGACCCACGGTGCCACTCTAACTTAGCAAACACCAGACGGGGCTCAGTTTTATAGGAAAAGTGGACAAGGGGTAAGTGTAAGCACAATTTAGAAATGAGGTGCAGGGCTTCTCTATCATTGGGATGTTCACAGAGTAAAGGGAAAAGGAACCTAAGAGATCTCAGGGAACATACATGGGGTGAGGGGAATCCCAGTTTTCACCAAAGAGAAAAATAAGGCGAAGAGTCCGTGAGTAAGTAGACATGAGGCTAGAATCAAGGAAATGCTTTCCCCAATATATCTGCATTTTCCTCATTCCCGGTGATGCCCTGACCATGCCACACAGCTTCTCTGAACATCATTGTGATAAAACAGATGCAATCAGCTCTGTACCTCTCTCAGTTTCTTATGAGGATCAACTGAGAGAATGGGTATTAAAATCATCATCATCATCATCATCATCATCATCATCCCTATTAGCCATCAGAACTCTCAGTCCTATATAAAGAGCTAGAATGGTAATTACTTTTGACATGGACACATTATAGAAATACATACATTAATGTAGTTAATGACACTAACAACATGCTGAATACATTTGCAACCTGCCAACCCAGGGCTTTGCTTCAGCATTCTAGATCAGGAGCAATCATTTAGTTGTTCTTTCCCCAGCTACCGCTACACCTGAGCTCACATTTCCATTACAGGCATCAGCCAGTGGTGGTTGTCTAACTGTCTGATAATGTATCTTTCTTTCCATCAGACTGGGAGTTCCTAAAGAGAAGCCATCATTTCTTATTCATCATTGTATTCTGATGCCTTGATTAGCACCTAGCATCAACCATGCACACCAGGCAGGTGGTAGATATCTTCTGCATAAAAATACCCAGGACAAATATGAACAATAGTGACGAAAAGCGGTAGGGTAGTATTTGTTACACTTGGGCTAGCTAACTATTGAATTCTAACTACTGAAATAATGAACAATGGGCATTTATTCCTTGTGCTCCTTTTGACTCTCATTTAAGTTACAGTCATAATTTCTCACTTGAAATGGTAGAAGAGGAGGCTCCAAGACATTAAACAAATTCCCACATTTCAAAGCCATTATTTGATAAAATTAAAAACAGATTTTCTAGTTTACCAACCACTGCATTTATTACAAACAATATGAGCTAAAATTGGGCCCTTTCTATGCGCAGGCATTTTTGTAACCATCTATGTTTTATATGTATTCTCATGCAGTCCTCAGGGCACGTCTATAGCACACTGAGCAACTCGTTAGAAGACTGGGTCCACCCAAAGGCACCTCTAAAGAAATGCTTGGTAAGCTAATTCCATTGAAATTCCTGTGGAATAACTTTATTCTGATACACATGGAACCACTTGCGAGTTGGAACTGACTCAACAGTAATTATTGTTGTTGTTTAGAGTGGTCAAGTGGGAAACAACTCATAGCCGCCTCTCCGGTGGGTTTTCAGGGACAGTAAATCACACAGGAGGAGGGTGTCTATCTTATTCCTGGTGGATTCAGTACAGATGCCTGTGGGTTGGCCACCACTAAGCGACCAGAGTCAGTAACAATTGTTTTTGTGTTGCAGAGACAGATAAACTGAGGCCTAGACAGGTTCAGTGAGCAGAGGAACAGGAGTTTGAATTTAGACAGTTTGTTTTTGAACTACTAAAACACAGAGACACACACCTCCTACTTCCATTCTCACCACCATTACCCTTGTTCTGGGCGTTTCTTATTCTGTGATGTCACATTCTATATTCCCAGAAGCTTTGGCCTATTTTGGGGAGACAAAATAACTATGAGTGAGCATAGCTGTGTTTGGAAGATGCACTTTTTCAGTTTCTCTTGCGAGATTCAAGTTTACAGGCAGTCCATGAAGACTGTAATTTCTTCACTCTTGGTAACTGGGCTCCATCTAAAAGGAATCCTCTGGGACGGGCCAATAAATTACCAGCCTCACTTTTGTTTTCACTAGCTCACCCTTTCCTGAGGAAAACTAACAGCGTTCTGTTCCCCGTAATTCACTGCTCACTACGGGCACTTAGCACAGCTGAACCACAGCTGACTCTCAATTATCCCTACAAATGGAGGAGAAGCAGTGGGATGGATAAACCCAAACTGTGCATAATTGAAAACGCTTTTCACTTGGCTGTCCCATGGGTGAGATATCAATCGGCCTGTTTGTCCTTTAAGATTTATCTCAGCCAGGACATCTCTGGAAGCTTTGCCTGATCTGTAGGCCTGGTGTGGATTCTATATGCTGTGGATTTGTCCATTAACAATTAAAAGTTGCTGAGCACGCGTTATGTGTCATGTGCTGTGCTTTGCGTGGGATAATGATGGTGTCCCAGACGGAGGTCTGATTTAACAGAGTTCCAAGTATTACTGAGGGAGGTGAACAAGTAATTGGCTGACTGAAGCTGAGCATAAAATGTACTTTATGTTATCATGGGTGTTATCACTCCACATCTTCGAATTCTAGTCCCTAGCCATAATCCCACTGCTTGGGAAGTCTTCAGAGGACAAGAACAGTTTTATCCTTGTTTCCCTAGCATCCTGCATTTACTCTGTTGTGTGGTTGTTGTTATTGTCATTTGTTCCCCCCTCTGGCTCATGATGACCCAATATACAAGAGAACAAAATGTTGCCCTATACGGTGCTATCTTCATGATTGCTGGTCTACCAGGATGGTGGCCACTGTGTTTTCAGAGAGCCTTCTAACCAAGGGGGCTCATCTCCCAGCACTATATTAGACAAGAGTCTATTGTGATCTACAGGATTCTCATTGCCTAATTTGCCAAAGTAGACATTGTGCTTTTCTTCCCTGCCTGTCTTAATCTGGAAGCACCACCAGACTCTGTTCACTACAGATGACTCTGATGGTACCTGAAAATCTGGAAGCACAGAGTCCAGCATCACAACATCATGCAAGCTACCACAGAATGAAAAACAGAGTACGATTTACTCTGAACGTATTGGTGAATCAAAGAAATATTGAATCATCGACCACCACAGAAGGTTAAACACTGACAGAAATTGTAAAGAAATGAAGACAAAAAAGAGGCAGAGTTCTGGCTTAGCCAGCCCACTCATCTATACAGTCCACGTCACTAGCACAGAGTGAAGAGGGCTAAGTTGTGGGCTAGAAGTAAAACATAGATTAGATTTCTTAATTGTGGCATCTCCACATGTTGTGTTATCTCAAGTGTTCATTTTCCTCTCTGACCCTCTCTCTTCTCATCAGGTTGTCATGTATCAGGCATTGTCTGTAAATGAGGTCCATGCCATGACCATGACTGTACCTCCAAGTTCTTGTCATATGATAAAGTGCTCCAGTAATGAAGTGGGTAATAATACATATATATATATCAAATTACAAAGACACTGTACACACAGAAGACACTTTTAACTCATCAACACATTAATCAATGATGTGGAGAATCAGGTCAAGGGTGTTCTGGGTAATGTGGAATTTTTACTCTTGGTTGCTCCCGAATTGGTTCTGAATCAGGTGTGGTGAGGAGAACTGCTCCACGGACTTCCCAGTGCTGTAAATTTTGGAAGCTGATGTTCTTCTGAAGCACCTCTGGAATGGTTTGAAATTCAGACTAGCTAGTTAATAGCTAGTAACTATCTGTGTCACCTAGGAACTCTGGCATGGGACTAAACACCTCACTGTTAATGAATAAGGACCAACTAATCCTTGATTTCAAGGCTATAAAGCTCATGGGAGGAAACTGCCCATCTCCTTGCTTCACAACCACTGATAGATTAGAACCCCAGAGAACTTGTCTTTCAGAGAAGCAGAGCAGCTCCCTACGGATTATACCACCAGAGCTTCCTGACATGGGACTACACACTTAAAATTTAGAGAAAACAACACTTGACACATATTTGATGACTTCAAATGATATTAACAGTGAGTGGACTTGGATAATGCCCGCTTGGAAAGCTCATGTCTCATGTAGGAAGTCTGATAAGGAATACTGGATTAAGAACCAGAAGTTCTGCCTTTGGGCACAATGCACAGATTGAGGGGAATTTTATTTTTCTCATATTAAAAACAATCATCATTTTAGATGTTCTTCCCTCTCACTGTGTTATTGGGAGGGCCAAGATCCAATGTTGGATGAAAATGTTTTGCTCTGTGAGGCTCTGAACTGTTTTAAGAAGACAATGGATGACTTTTCCTGAGCACTAAAAGTGAAAGACAATTATGAATATAGTTTAGACAGTGAAACTACTGATCCTCAAAGAGAGGTTACATTTACTCCAGGGCTCTCCTTCCATTATCAGGAGTTATAAATGGTGAAGTCAAGCAAGGTTGCAGCCTCCTGCTAGGCCTTCTGACAAGATGAGGTAAGCAAGTTTTGTTTCACTTCTCTTAATACATCATTGTAAGACATCTTAAACAGCATTTCCTAAGAAGCTACTACATATAAAGGCCTATTCTTGTCACTTTTTACTTACACATCACTTCTAGGAGCAGTTAATAGAGCCCCCCATTTTATAGCCTAGGGTACGGATATACCAAGGTTGTGTACTTTGCCCAAGGTTACAGACATGGGGGGGAATAAAATCTGAGACCTTCCTGGGCATTCTAATGTACTTGGAAGGAGTATCCAGAAAGAGAGAAAGAAGAGCAAGAATGAGGCTCCTAATGGCAACTCCCTAAAAGCCTAGCCTTATCTTGAAGCCTTGAGCTTATCTCTTGTTAGCAAACTGTGCCTGCACTTGGCTGGCTTAGCAAGAGAGGTGAGTGACCAAGGGTATCTCCATGAGAGGGTGGTAAAATATTCATTCCCTTAAATGACACCTTCCTGTTAATAATGGGCAAAGGAAGATCAGGGTTGACTTTAGATACTGAGGGCTTGCACAGAACTGAACTGTGAAGCACACAATCCAGGCATCTGAAAACAGCCTCTGATGATAATCTGAGCTATTTATTTACAAATATTAGGTGTGCAAGTTTCTGAGTCTGGGCACAGAGGAAGGCTCTACCTCTGGTGGTTTTGATTGAGAAAAGGATAATGTGAGTAAACTCCACTCATGGAGTGGGTTCTTTAGAGTGTCTCTACAGAAAAAGGTAGAACTGCCCCACAGAGTTTTCACGCCTGTAAATCTTTACAGCCTTTAATATGGATTGCATCTCAACATCAAGAAAACAGAATTCTCACTACTAGCCCTACAGGTAAATGGAGAAAAGATTGAAACTGTCAATGACTTCACCTTACCTGGATCCACAATCAATGTACCTGGTAGCAGCAGTTAAGAGATCAGAAGATGTTTTGCACCAAGAAAATCTGCAGTCAGGGACTTCGCCAAATCACTGAGGAGCAATGATGTTAGTTTGAGGACTAAGGTGTGCCTCATGACTAAGCTATGGTCTTTACAATACTTGCTATGCTATTGAGAGCTGGAGAGTGAATAAGAATGATTGAAGAAGAATTGATATCTGAGTTGTGGTGCTGCAGAGGAGTACTGAATAGTCCATGTACTGCCAAAAGAACAGACATATCTTGGAGAAGGTGCTGTCAGAATGCTCCTTGGAGGCAAAGATGAGTAAACTTTGTCTCACATACTTCAGGCATGCTGCTAAGAGAGACTATTCATTGGAAAAGGACATCATGCTTGGGAAAGTGGAGAAACGGCAAAAGAGAGGAAGGCCCTTGACCAGGTGGATTGACATTGGCTATAGCGATGACCTCAAGCATGTCAGAGATTGTGAGGGTAACACGGGACAGGGCACGGTCTGAACCCCATTGTTCACAGGGTTGCTATGAGATGTATACAACTTGACATCTAACAACAACAACAGCAAGAAATCTTCACAGGAATGGATTACTTCTATTTTCTGAAGTGTCTGGTAGATTTGAACCAACAACCTCCACTTAACCCACTAACCTACTAGCGCTTCTAGCTTATAATCAGCATCCAGTAGATGTTACAAATAAACACAGAGTTTCTAAGTGTTTTGTTGCCCTGGAGAACAAGCCAGCATGCTTCTCTGAAGAATTATAACCCTATGATGAGACACTAGTTGCAAAAGGCTGCAAAGGCGTTTGCTTCAGAGATTCTTCAAGCCTTATTCACTCATTTTACAGAAGAGGAAATAGGGACCCAGAGAAGAAAATGAAGTTGACAAATAAAATGAATTGCTGAACTGGTCCAATGGAACGAAGCTCTCAAATCCACATATCCAAATGGTATATTCTGTGATTCAAGATGGTGCCTCTTCTTGGCATTCTGATTTGCACACTACACTTTAGAAGGCAAACCTAAACATGTCCTTATTTTATTCTCACAAGGATATGTACATGAAAGAGAGATTATTCTCCTGCTTTATAACTGAGTCTCAGAGAGGGCAAGTGCCACAGTACCACAACGCCACAAGAAGCTGGTTACAAGGCCAGAACCAGAACCTAGCTTTCCATTCTCCTAAAGCAGTTCTTTCCAGTGCATTAAGCTGTCCTCGACAGCCAGTCTTCCAGGCACCATGACGGGAACCTTGCCAACTCCAGCTTAAGTCTAGATGCACAGGCCTCTCATATTGAAAAGTCTAATTTTATTTTAAAAGGTTATCTCTCTTCCTAGGATGACTATTTAATGGTTCCTCTGGCCTCATATTCAGACACTGTCAGGTTTTCCTTTGAAAGCTGACACCAAGGACAAAAATAACTCTATATAATGGAAAATTTGTAAGCAATGACTTTAAAGCTTCAAAGCATAACCTTAAACTTGATTAGAACCCAGACGGGCCCAGTGGATAGAAATTCTTCGATTATTATTCCACAAGACTGGTCTTCATAAAGTTGTTTGTAAAACTAAGATTTTATTTTGGCCATTTTAAAAGCCTATGTGTTTGACAGAAATTGGAAATATATTTTACTTTAATCACACAATACTAGACTACAAGTTAAGCTTGGAAAGGTGGAGGGTGAGAGGAGGAAAGGAAGACTCTCAATGAGACTGACAGACTCAATGACTACAACAAAAAAGCTTACGCACAGCAGAAACTGTAAGGATGGCGCCAGACTGAGCAAGATTTTTAGCTGTTGTACTTAAGGCTCCTTTCCATCAGAGCAGACATAACAGCATCTAACAACAGATTAAAAATGGAGTCCCCGTTTAATGCACTTGGTAGCTAATCAAACTGATGGAAGTTTGAGTATATCCGAGTGGATTCAGAGCCACCTTGGAAAAAAGGTCAGGTGATCTAAACAAGCAGCAAGTGCAAAACCTATGGAGCAAGTTCTACTCTAACACACATGGGCTCACTATGCGTTGTCACTGACTCGATGGCAACCAGTGGCTTCCACTCCAAGTCCTAAATATAATGGTAATCCACTTAACTAAGTTTAATTCAGAAATGAAAACCATATAGTACATTGTTTTCTTCTCTCATAATGTTTAATTGGGAACTCCTCAATTAACACAAGCTTGGAAGCAGGAATGGCATCCACTTCCCAAACAGCTTCCCTCTGGAAACTCTATAAACTTTGAGAAACGATGAACGTTATACAAGTGTTCAGGTCTTCCGTTCATAGGGTTGCTATGAGTCATCTACTTAATGGCACTTAACACCGTAACATTTATATTTCAAGTTAGAATTAAAATTTCAGTTAGTGGAAAAATGAGAGGCCGCCTAGAGAAGAATGTAGCAGTTGCCACCAGGCCTGATCACTCCTTAAGAAGCCTGATAATATCTAAGGGGACCAAAGCAGAAACTAAAGCAACCACCAGACCAAAGGCCAGACTGGACAATACATCCTGGTAAAGCTCTGGGCCTGATCACAAAAGCCCAAACCCAAGTTAGTTAACAGCCCCAAATACCGAGAAAAATACCATTTTCCCTAGTCCCTGCTAAAACCCCAGTAAAAAGAAACCACCCTGGACTGCCCGCACACCATTTTGACCTTCTCTACTACTCTAGTCACTTGGCATCCCTCCCAGACCACACAATAAAGGCTCATTTGTTCCATGGGACCAGCTTCTTTCTTCCTCTCTCTTTCCCTCAACTCTTTTTCCATCTAACACCACCGCATGTTGATGTGTGGCTGTGCTGTCTCTACCCCACAAGGCAGAATAGAAATACAGGCTAGAAGAGCATGGGCTCTGCCTTCAGATAGGCATGCAGTCTGTATCCAAACTGGGTAACCATGAGGAAGCTATTCCACGTCTCTTGAGTTTCTACATAAAAACAGTCTTAAAAGACGTATTTTATAGCATTCTTGGGATAATTAAAATGTGTTTAGTGCTCAACATATCATAGTCAATTAAGAGTAGTCGATATTCTTAAGATTATCTTTAAATAGGATTTCTAAATTTTTACTTTATTGCTTAGGACTGGCATCCACTTCCTAAACAACACGCCCTTGGAAACTTTTATAAATGAAGACAGTTATAGAAAGGCTCCAGGCCTTTTGTTCATAGGGTCACTGTGAGTTGTGCTAGACTCGATGGCCAGCAGCAACAACAACAACAACACTACTTTATTGCTTGGAGTGGAGCTGAATAGTTAAAGAAGTTTGATGAGCAAATTATTTTGAGAAATGAGACCTAATGTTGTATATAGGGAGCTCTGGTGGCCTAGTTAGTGGTAGAGAGTTGCACTGCCAACCTCAAAGGCAGGTAGTTCAAATACACCAAATGTTCTGAGGGAGAAAGATGCAGAGCCTCCTCCTGCATAATTTAGAGCCTCTGAAAATCTGGTGGATGGTCAGTTATGAGTTGGTTCTGACTGGGGACAATCTGTAAATATTGTATATGGATATCAATCCTCCAATTTTACTTTGGTGAAAATGCAGTATTTTTGTGTTCACTCAACACTTAAGATTCATTAAAAACTAAAACATTATACCTAAATAGCCACTGAACATTTTAATAACATGGCATGAAAAACTGGGGAAAATTAAATACCAAATAAAAACCACAAACCCCATACACAGACTTGTATATCGCAGGAGAACCAGAAGCCAATTGACACAGCAGTACTTCAGCAAACGTAGAGTGACTGAAACTGCTCTATGGACCCTCAAGAGAGAGACTTCCTGATTCTTAAGACTCTCCAGTGCATTGGCTGGTCATGGTGCAGTGTTAAGGGAGGCAAGCAAGTCTATACCTGATAAATGTTTTCTTCCGTTTCAGGATCACGGATTGGCTCGTGTCCAGCCTCAAACACAATGTACTATTACAGGAGCAGCCCCGAGAGGACAGGTCAGAGGTGAAAAAGAGAAAGGAAAACAAGCATTTGGAAATCAGGATACAAATCACAGTAAGCATTAAAGAAACAGGCACAAGAGAAAATGTCTTAAGGAGACCACTATATTATTATAATAAACTGGTTTGCACATATTTGATTTTTTTAAGAAAAGCCCCAAAGGTCTGCAGGTCAGCTCTTTAGTAGTGACTACATATAGCTCTGGAGAATGATGAGTCATTTCCATCTCAGATGAAATGGATTGATTCAGTGACTGGGACTGGCTCAGAATAGAGCAGGATTCGGAGCTTTTGTAAATTAGGGTCACTATGAGTCAGTCACAAGCGACTCAATGGCACTTAACCATATTATTTGATCAATGAGGTATGACTAAGTAAGCATGGGATGCCTGGTATCCTCAGTAAACTTGGGGTCAAAGATTTCTCCTCCTTTTGAACCCTCAGTCCAAGGTCCTGGGCCAACTCTGAAATTTTGCTCAGGAAGCTCCCAACTCCTTCATTAAGTACTATTTTACTTTATGAGCTCAGCTCAAAATACTGAGAGAACCCATTTTCCTTGTGCATATTTCAGTTGTTAAAGAAGCAGAACATTTCAAATTGGGCTATATTCTCTATTATCTGCAAGCTAGTTAGTTAGATAACTTGTATTCTAAATTCCTCACACTTCAGGGACTCAAACAAGAGTCTTGTTTTAAATAGATTTTTTCCCCTATAGATTTTTATAGTCAAAGCTTCTTCAACTGAAAGTTACCCATTTTATTTTACTCTCATCCTGATATTCCAGCTTTCCATGGGAAAATATGCATTTACTTCATGTATATGGAATACATACGATAGATTTAAACATGTATGCATTTCGGAATTGTACGTTTTAGAATTTTTTTATTTTCAGTAAGTCAACTTCTTGGTTTCTTTTTCTCCTTGAGCATAAACACCAGAGATGGTAAAGCCTCCTCTTTCCTTCTTGTATTTCTGCTTGAATACAAGCAGGGATTTGAACCCAGAGAGCTGGCCTCTTGTCCCTGACAAGAGTAACGAGAAACTCCCGGGAGTAGAGTGGTCTCTGAGTTTATTACTTCCCTCCTCATTGTAGCCCCTATGGCAGGAATGAGGAAACCAGAGGGACAGAGGACCTATTTGGGTCTTGGATACTTCTCATAGCCTTTCGAAAGCTTACAAATCATCCTTTGGTTTTTGTAATAAAATGCTGCCAAAACGTCAGTCCCTGTCTCCAGCTCTTAACACGATAAACCTCCTCATTATTCATTTTCTCACTAATGAACTTAAGAATATTCAAGAGGCTCTTGAAGACATTCAGCTTGGGGATCAAACTTTTACAGATTGTGGAGAGGGCTGAAGCAAGGGCAGAAAGGGAGAGGCGCGTCTCCAATTCTCCCGTTATCGCTGCTGGCCAAACTTCTGTTCATTTTTACGGAAATTTGGCCTGGAGGGGCTGGCAGACCTCACCGTCAGAAATAATCCTGGTCCCTCTCCAGGCTCCTTAGCCAGTGGATTCTTCAAGTCTGACAAATGGCTGCACCCAAGACCCTAAACATGAAACCCAATGTGTTTCAGAAATTACCTGGTATACAGGGTCTTCCACATCCTCTTCCAAAATTGTCTACGACAGAGTGAGAGGCAGGAGGGTGAAGGGCAGAGGATATAAAGGAAGAGAGATGAGATTGTGTTCAGAAATTACAGGACAGCAAAAAGACTGGTGGGTCATTAAGGCAGAAAACACACAGAAGAAGGTAAAACCTGCAAAGCCTTCCCACCACCCTAACACCACTACTAGAAGCCAAAGCAATTGCATGTCTTTAGTCCCCCTCCTCTGACACCTTCCTCTGGAATAAAGCCTTCACTTCATCTACAATGCCTAGGATCACAAAGAACAAGGGCTTATTTTGAGTGGCTTGCTTTGGGCACCTGCAATTTCCACGGGACCTTTCCTCTTTGTTTATTTCTTTCTGGCAGCAAGAGAAGCCCTGACTGGCAGCTCCCACATCTGTTTATTCTAAGCTCCGATCTTCTCCGGCATGGGGATAAAGCCACAGGTATACCTGGTACACAGCTTGTTCACACTGCTTATCCTTTTGTGCCTTTTTTTCTAATTCTTCTCTTTGCTTCAATTCATAGATGAGTTGAAAGAGATCTCGCAAGTCCAGAATAACAGGTTCAGCCTGGAGTAAAGGGTGGTGAGAGCATTAATAAAGGAATTACTATACTGAACCGCAGCGACCAATTTCTGTTTTCAACTGGCTGCGACCACAGTCCTTTGGTTTTTTTTCCCTTCTATTAAACTGAAAGCATTCCATCCTTAATTAATTCTACCTTGTTTATATTGGTTTAGCAAATTGTATCTAGGCTAAAGTTCATTTCTTAAGCTAATTATATTTGCAAATTCATAATAATCATAAGCATAAAAAGGCATGGCTTTTATTTATTAGCAATTTCAAATACAATAAACTAGGGTAGGCCTTATGCAAAACAGCTTTTATTTTCTCTTATTTTCTTTTTAAATGAGGCTATGAAACTTATTTGTATACTGTGCCTCCATCCAGCTTAATCAGAGAGGAAAATAATTAGTCATTAGGAAATACCCATTAGAAAACAAAAAACAAGAAACCAAGTGGGTAGCTGTAAGCATGTTTTCTTGCTTCAAGGCTGTTTCCCTTTTCTAGAAGGGGATCAGAGTGTCAGTTCTAGTGGTGACCCACCTTTCCCTTGCACTACCAGAGTGGACATTCAAAGGCCAACAGAGTCCCTCTGCTGTCCCTAAAATGAAAAGGAAAAACTTACCGCCTGCGCCGTTTTTATCGCCACAAATCTGTGATTCCCTTCCTTCCCACAAACGTATCCAAAGGCCCGGTGATCTGTGATGTCCTTTGCAATGTAGGAAATTTCGTGAACAGCATGATGATGCTGAAGGGCCTATCAGAGACAAAAAGAAAAGCAGATTTTTTATGGGACTTTCCCTTTGAGCTGTTGATCAATAAGAGATGTGTTTCTGCTACGTGTGAACAGGCTCGAAGGGTTTTGGAAAAGCTGTTTGGTCCAGATGGGAGAAAAAAGAGCTGTGCCTGCCCTTGAGAAATGGAGTCTCCTCCCCATGGTCTCAGGGCTGTGACCAGACAGATAAACAGGACTGCTCAGACATGGAAGGAGCGTCTGCAGCGAGGGCTTCGCTCCGCTTGCCAGAACCTGCCAAATTCAGTAGGGCAGGCTTTGCTGGAGCTTTCTTCACAACACAGCCTCATCTAACTTCCAGCTTACCCTCCTAGGCTTTATAGCCTCTGTGAGCCATGGTATGAGGTAGACTCTCTACAGCTCCAGGGAGGACCATTTACATTCACGGTACCATAGGATTGTATGGTGACAAAACTTTTCTGGGAGTGTCTTGAAGAATGCTCTATTTTGTCTGACGTCTTTATATGGGCTCAAGGTGGGACCTCATGTATCTGTCTGTAAGCCTTTGAATGTGTTGGTACTTCTGTATAAAATCCCCATTCTTTTTTTTTAAATCCACTTTCTCAAGCTTTCTGCTCTTACAAAACCAGTCTTTCTGGGAAGCTGCTCCTGAAGAAGCACCACTTCTCACCTCTGCAAAGTCTTTCCTCTGCTTGCAGAAATAATTCCTCCCTCCTCTACGGAGCTCTAAGCTTGAGTGATGCTGAAATGCCTACAGGATCGTGGCAAATAGCTCTCTGGGCTTCCTGAAACTATGGCTTTTTGCTTCCCTGATATATTTGCCTGATGCCTTGTCTGTCCCACTAGGCTATGTGTTCTTGGTTCCTAGCTGTCAAAATAAAATTGGGACTGATTATGAGGAATTTGAAAATATTTCCAAATTCACCTTCCTGCCTTTATAATCTGCGCTTCAGCAGATAAATCAAATGTACCATACTGCTGGGGATTGTGATTTCTCAGTAACAAACTTGTATAAAGCAACCCTCATTAATTCCTCAGTAAACATTTACATGTTCTTTCAGGTCCTATGTGAAGTATTTAAAGCCAATAGAGAGGTCTTTATGCTGAGTGTCAGGAGGCTTGAACTATGTGTGAACACATAGTGTGTGAACACAAGCCCTCTCTGGGCCTCAGTTCCTCCACCTGTGAGAGGTCCAGGTCAGATCAATGACAGAATGCAAAGCCCTAGATCTCTAACTCATGGCCATGGAGTTGGAACCAGCTCACAGCTCCATGGGGTTTCCAAGGCTGTAAATGACACAGGAGGAGACAGTCCATGTTTCTTCTTTGGAGCCACTGGTGGCTTCAAATCTCCAGAGAGGTGCGACCTTTGGGTTAGCAACAAACTGCCTACAGATTAGACCATCAGAGCTTCCTCTTGGATTTATTAGTAAACCAAACCAAGCAAACAAAAAAGAACCCCAACCCCCCACCTCATTATCATTGAGTCAGAGCCAACTCATAGTTGACACTCCAAGAGGTTTTTGGAGGCTATAAATCACACAGGACGAGATCGTTCATCTTTTTCCCTCAGAGCCAATGGCCAATGGTGGATTCGAATCTCCAAAGAGAAGCCATCTTTGGGATAGCTGGGCAACACCCGACAGACCAGGCCACTAAGAAAGTCATTGAAAGAAATTAAAACAAGCTAGGACAACTTGGCATTTCTCAAAGAGCTGAACAAAGAATGGCTATATGACCCAGTTACTCCACTGCTAGGAATATGCCTCAAGGAAAATAGAACTGGGACACAAATAAAGCTTTGTGTTTGCTGTTCATAGCAGCATTATTCACAATAGCAAGAAAATATAAACAGCCCAAATGTCCACCAACAAATGAATGGACTGAGAAATTATACTATATTAACATGATGGAATACTATGAAGCACTCAGGAGCAATAATTTGAAGAACTACTATGTAACATAGGGGAGGCTAGAGACTGTTACACTGACTGAGCTAACTCAGTCACATAAGGACAAATACTGCCTAAGATCATTATTATAAAAATAGAAGGTTAACTAATAAGAAGATGTGAATAAAAGTCCAAAGAGGGAAAGAACAGGGAGGATAAGGAGGAGGGAGAGAAATCACAGGGGCACAGAGTTCGGTGGGCTGAAGGAGATGATACAGATTACTACCTAGTATGGGAAGGACTGGACAGCATTATGCTAAGTGAACTAACTCAGTCTTATAAAGACAAATATTGTATGTGACCATTATTGTAGAATGAGTACAAGGATGCAAGGGGGGAGGAACTTAATTTTATAGGCTCACACAATTTGATGGGTAGAGGGAGGTGTGGGTAAAGGAAAGGGAAAAGATTCAGTGTAAAAAACAATGTATATGAACTTTTTAAGTAAACCAATATAACATTTTAAAAAAATTAAAAAAAGGAGAGGACAAAGGAATTAGGAAAGGTCCAGGGGGGACCTGAAAAGATGTGATGACAGTGGGCATGGATCACTGGTGATTGGTTTTGTAAAATGCAATGTATGAGAATGACTGTATGAAACACAATGCAAATGAAGGAATGTGAAGCATAAGGTATATGAATGAAACACAATGTATACAAATTTTGCATGCAAACCAGTATAGACATTTAAAAAATACATCCTTACAATAACAAGCCAGGGACATTTTTAATGTTTCAAAAACTATGCAGAAATTATTTAGCTATTATTCTCCTGGCCTAGTGGTAAGGAGTTACACGGAAAACCCAAAGTCACGTGGATCGAATTTCTCAGCTGTTTCATGGGAAGATAGGCATCTCCTCCCACTTCTTCCCATTTGCCTTACTACCTCTGAAAATCTGCTAGAGAATCAACTATGAGTTGGTTCCAACTTGACAGATGCATCAACAACAATAATGCTGGGAGAGAGATCTGATAGCCTAATGGTAAGAAGGTGCACTGTCAACCCAAACGCACACAGTTCAAAGCCATCAGTTGCTCCAAGGGAGAAAGATGGACAATCTCCTCCTGGGTGATTTACAGCCCATGAAAACCTGCTGGACGGTCTGCTGTGAGTTGGTTTCAATCTGATGACACATAGCAATAAGGTGGGGCGTATGAAAGTCAAAGTGTTAAATTTATTTGACATTCTATCAGATTGTTCCTATACTCCAGAGCTCGTGTTTGAGCACACCCTGCCACTGGCAATTAGCTACGGGTGCAAGTAATCAACCTAAATGCCCATCAACAAACGAATGGGTAGAGAAGCTGTGGTATATTCGCACAATGGAATACTATACTGCATTGAAAAACAAGGAACTCATGCAATATTATTCAAAATGGGTGAACCTGGAGGACATT